GCACTTTAATGAATTAAAACACTTTTTAACTTTATGTGTAAATTAATAGATAGAGGTATCTCTGTTTAAAATTGAAAGCCAGAGTTGTCCCTGTAGGCAAATCATACAGTCCATGCAACAGAGGAGTATGACGAGATTGTATTTCCTAGTAGAACCAGAGTATATACTATGTACTCCTTCCGTCTACCTTGTCTTGGTTGTGTACACATGACTTTAAAAGGATATAATCCTTTATATCTTCCTACCTTTAAAAATAGTTTGAAGTTGACAAAATAGTTCTGAAGCAAATCTTTCCTTCAATAGCCTTGCTCTTTTAGCCTAGTCAGTCTGTAAGTGACTAGTGCATCTGCAGAACAAATAAGGTCAAAATGTATAAAGGTTGTCAGAGAAATGACTTTAAAAATAAACTCCTGTTTTAAGGGAACTTTTGTTTTTTAAAAAAAATCAGAAAGGCAACAGTTTTTTTTAAGTTAATGCAGAAAGAAAGAGCCAAAATAATTAATATAAAATAAATAGTCAAATAAAAATGTAGACAGTGCCAGATGTAACCAAATTAAGTGGAACAGTTTGCAGATGTTCCCAAAAGCTTGCTCATAATATAGTTGAAGAAAACTGCTTCCTTTATTTTTATGACTCTAAGGCTAGGACAATCACTATAAACAATGAGATTCCTTTGAACAGCAGTGAAAACCATGCCATTTCATTTCTGATCCACATCTTTATGTACTGTAACTTCTACCATATTCACAGGGCAATCTGTGTTATTACTTGGTGACGCTTGTTTGCATTCTGTAGTCATAGCTATGGTCAATGTAACAACCAAGAAATCACTCTATATAACCAAGTAAGCAAACTGTACAGTCCATATTTGCAAAAGATGATAGTATGGGAGCAAACATGTCTAGAAACCACATGGTATCTAATAAATGCCTATCATGCCTAGAAAAAAGCACATGTTTGACTTACAACTATTATGTGCCACAGTATAAAGACTTCCATCCCCATATCTCCCCTACCACCACATATTCTTGTACATCTACCTGTAGTTTTTCATATTTTTGGTACTGAGCTAGGATCTGTGAAGGATATAGAAAAAAGATGGAAAATATTTTCATTCCTCAAGGCGATAAAAAGTACAACAGAAGTGATGCCATGTATGTAAATAGCTATAAAGATGATAGAAAACAGTAATGCTATTTGAGAGGTGCCCTGAAGTTTGTAAAATGGTTTATGTCAGTAGTAATTTACTGAAGACATATTAAGCAAAGAGAGTGCAACAGAAGATAGAAATACAAGTATGAAAAAGATAGGCACATTACTTGATGTTATACATTTTATCATATAGGTAGAAGACAAATGAGAGGATTATAAATTGTGAGAAGTATCACGAAGAAAACAGTATGTTAATACTGTTTAATAATCATAGGAACCTACATTAGATAGGGTAATCAGAAAATTCTCCTCTGAGGCAGCATGATCTGAGCTGAGACACAAAGCAAGAGATAGTCATCCGTGTGAAAGACACGAAGAACAAAGAAAAAGCATATCCACCAAAGGCTTGCATGTCAATGCTCATTGAATCATCAGTAATAGCTAAAGGTGGATGCAAACCAAATGCCTATCAACTAGTGTAACAAATTGAATTGTGACCCTGCCAAAAGTACATTGAAGTCCTAACCCTCATAACCTCAGAATGTGGACTTCTTTAGAAATAAGGTCACTTTAGATATAATTAGTTGAGATGAGGTTATAATAGATGTGAATGAGCCCTTCATCTAATACGATTGGTGTCGTTAGGAAGATACACAGAGAAGGTCATTTACAACAGAGGCAGAGATTGGAGTAATATAGCTACAAGCCAAGGAGCACTAAAGAGTGACAGCTATCATCAGAACCTAGGAAGAAGCCAGGAAGGATTATATCCAGAATCTTAGACAGAACATGGCCCTGTTAACACCTTCATTTATAACTTCTAGCCTCTGGAAATGAGAGAATAAATTTCTTTTCCTTTAAGCCACTCAGTTTGTGGTACTTTGCTGTGGCACTCCTAGTAAACTAATGCAACCACTGCATAGGTAAATAAAATCTGGTATATCCATATAGGGGAGTACTATTTTACAACAAAGAGGCTTACTGGTGCATGCTAAAAAGAACCTTGAAAATATGCCAAGTAAAAGAAGCCAGACACAAAAGACCATTCCACTTATAGGAAATGTCCAGAATAGGCAAACATATAGAGACCGAAAGCAAATTAAAAGTTGCCCAAGGCTAGACTGGGACTGGGAATCAGTTGTAAACAGAAATAATGGATCTTACTGGGGTGATAGAAATGTTCTAAAACTTGATTCTGGTAATAGTTGCGTGACTCAGCAAACTTGCTATGAATCGTTGAATTGTACCCTTCATGTTGGTGAATTTGGGGGATGTAAATTATACCTCAAATACCTGTTTTGTTTTGTTTTACTGCAGTAATATTGAGAAATGAGACAGAAGAGGTTCTTATGCTCCCTGGTCATTTAAACAGCACTGTGGGCTAGAGAATAGGGCAGGCACAGGAAAAGGGGAAGGTCCTACTAAGTAGGTTAGGATCCTGGGAGAGCAGACTGCCAGGCCCAAATAGGTGGGATTTTAGGATGGGAAGAGAGCCATTCAGTAATCTGAGACATTGAGTCTACCTTGCCAGTAATATTTCAGTTCCATAGAAAAAGGTTGCATGAGATATATTTGCTCATTTGTGTAATTTTCATGACTGGATTAAGGAAGCTTACTTTATGTGTGATGTTTATAGAAAGAGGCTGGGGACAAACTCAATCACTTCTGAGACCTCCTTGTCTCTTGCATTTTTAACCTTATTGTTTCATCTCTTTCCAACACATGATCCACTGCAATGCAGAAATGTTTTCATTTCCTGGGAGGACAAAGACCTCTTTCTCTCAAGGCAATTCTTTTTTTTAATTAACACTACTCTCACAGAGCAGACAGCCACACACACAGCACTAAAAGGTGTGAACTTGCTCACTGTGCTCAGAGTCATGCTACTGATACTTATGGGATGATGATTCAACTGTACCGGCTCTTTGTTAGCAAGTTCAGCAGCTGTGTGTGAGTGCTGTTGTTAGTATGCACCACAATATTACCAGGTCAACTTTATGCAAATGCTCAAAGGGAGGCAAACTCAAATATAGGTACAACAGAATTTGTAGCAGAGATGGGCCAAAAAAGGAGGAATGATGTATATGAACAGATCAAGTATAGATTTAATGTATTTTAGTTTATAATATTATTTGTTACAGTGGTAAAAATCCATAGTAAAAGATTAAGATGAAGCATCAGGACCTGAGTTTCAACCTGAACAGTTTCAACCTAACTAGTTTTCTCTGGGACTAAAAAAAGGTATTTATTTGAGATGACAGCCTTGCTTATAAAAGGCAAGGGGTAGTTTCAAACTGGTCTTAGCTATTGAGGCATGAGTGTTGCTTCAATAGGTTTCTAGTTATGAGATCTTCCCTTTCAAAAGTGTACATCTAACCCAGGCACAGGTGGCTCACACCTGTAATCCTATCTCCTTGAGAGACTGAGTTCAGTTCTAGGCCAGCCACAGCAAATAGTTTAGGAGACCCCTATCTTCAAAATAACCAGAGCAAAATGGGCTAGAGATATGGCTCAAGCTGTAGAGCACCTGCTTGGGAAGTGTGAAACCATGAGTTCAAACCCCAGTCCCACCAAAAAAGAAAAAGTGTACACCATGACATCCATGAAGGCCAGCATTAAGAACCCTGAACAAAATTATCTCAAAACCCCTTCCAAATCCAATGCTCCCTGTCATTCTGGGAAAAGAAAACAAAAACAAACAACGGCAACAACAACAATAAAAAATCTATGTTCAAGTTTGCACTTTGACAACATGCCTCACAGCCAACCTAGCTACATTGCCAACAATCTAACACTTAGAGTTTTCTTACAGTGAGTAGACTTCTCAGTCCTTCTCACTCTCTGAAGCAGCAGATAAAGAGGGTTTACAGAATAAGTGAAATCATCTCTCTTTGTTACTACACCTGTGCTTATCCATTTGTCATTTTTAACCTTTTCTTCTGAATCCTTTTGTGTCTTTTTCCTCTAATATGGGGAAACCTAAAGAAGAAATGAAATGGAGAATCAAGTATTATGTAGTCAACTAGATAATTCCAAATTTTATATTGGCAAAGTTGAATCAGAAATCATAGAAAATGACCAGAAATTGAATTGAAATAGATGCATGAAGACAATTATTAGATTCAGTATACAGGGTTAAGAATGTACTGATAAGAAATAATGGACAAGTATTTAATTATAAAGCATTGAAGCTTAGTTAGGCTCATACCTTGACCATAATTATACAGTCATCTTTCATGATATGAGAAACTGTGAGGATATTGTTCTCAAGGTAAGTATGCCAACAACATATGTTGTTACGTATAGCTATTTCTTATATTTTTTATTGGTTTAGAATAAAACATTACAGGCTTCTTATGTCGCCTTGCATATGCTAATTTATGATTGACTCAGCTTGACCTTGGAAGTGAGTGGAAAAACTGTGACCACAGAATGATGACTCAGAAAAGTTGCTTTCCTATATAGATATCATAAAACATCCATGTATTTTTAAATTGATTTTAAATATTTTAATTTTGTGCTGTAGGTTTTCAAAAAGATGATTTTTCCTAAGGACAAGGAATTTATCACTCTTTTTTCCCCTATAACTGCCTTTAAAAAAAGTATTTTCAAGAAGCAAAGTTATACACATGGAGAATTTAATCCTAGGCAGATGGTGTGGTGCTGTGCTACAAATTTTTCTCCAGCAATAACTGGGAGAAGAGCCGTAATTTCATGGCTGTTAGAGATATGGCCAGTTTTCACTGAAGGAATTAATTGTGCACATAATGATATATAGGAGTATCCTACATTAACACATACATGTATAAAACACATACATCTTCAAAGAATCCTTTGTTTCTTCACAGGGGTGATGGGTGAATATGAGCCCAAAATAGAAGTGCAGTTCCCAGAAACGGTCCCGACAGCAAAAGGAGCAACAGTCAAGCTGGAGTGCTTTGCTTTAGGAAAGTAAGTTCTGGTTTCTCATCCTCCCAGTCCTCTCTTCAGCTGAGACAGGTAGAGAAACTTCTGTACACTGTTCACAGCAATGGTCTTGTAGGTAGATGAAAAACGAGCCAGGCTTTACTTTCTTTTTTTTAATTCTGTGTGTGCATCTTTGATTCTGTCCTCTCACCACGAAAAGAGACAGGTAATGGTGCAAGAAGGATTGAGCTGCCACCATTGACATGGCCACAAAGGAGAGAAGGATGGGCAATTCTGAAAAAAACATTTTGTTCTATTATTATGACCTGTAATGTGCATGCTGTCTAACCCAGAGTGACAGGAAAACAACAGCCTTCATTTAAGGTTCAGGCAAGCTTACTATTCAGAAAAAATAAGGACTTTTTTCTGTCCCCAGTTCAGAGGATACATCACATTTTTTTTTCTTGAATTTCTTTTGAAATTGCAAGTCTCTTCTCTCTACTTTGGATTCCCTTCTGCTCTGGCTACAGGTGGGGAAGACCTGATATTCTATAAGAGAGTCTCTCTTTTACAGAGTGGTCTGAGAATTATTCACCCCTTTATTTTGTAGTCTGGATTCATCTTAGAAGAGCCTTCTTGGGAACCAGTTAGCTTTTCCAGAGTATCTGCCAGAGAATGTAAAGAAATGTAATGCAGATCTGTTGGGGCTTTTATGTGCCAGTAACAAGCAGAAACAGTTTGGTATCAGCAATGTCATCCAAAGTGAGAACTTTTAGCTCTTCTATGAATTGTTAATGATCCATGTCAGTGGCTACTACTTGCAGCAGCATCTGTCTGGCTACCCATTACTTGCTTCCTGTCTTTTTCCTGTACTAAATATTGACTAAAGCAGCAACACTAACTCTTGTCCAGTCTTTCTATCACCAAGCAATATTTAAGTGACTTTTGTGTTTTGCACAAACTATAGAAGATATCCTGTTTTTATTCATTTTATTTTCAGCTCTAATGAAAGGATTATTTTGGTTTCCATATGTTTTCATATCATAACAATAAAACTACAGTAGTATCTTTACATTGGTAGTATACAATACGATATTAAATTTTTAGTTCTGAGAACTTGCCACATTAAATAAATCATGGTATAGCTGCAAGACTGAGCACTGTACAGACATTAAAAACAAGCTGTAAAACAGTATGTAAGACATAAAAAATGTCCATGATTTATTGCTGAGTGTAAAGCAGATTGCACTCAGTATAGTGGGGTTATATTTTTAAAGTATTTGTGTGCATGTTTGTGTATGAAAATAAGTGGGGAAAAGGTAAAAACAGGCAACTGGATAGTCCAGGTATATATTTGGTGAACTTTGCAAGGTGACACCTTGAAAAACCTTCTGTGGAGAAAGCAAAATTCATGTTGTAGCTCACACTTCAAAAGGGGCTATGAATTAAAGTCTATTCACACTGGTTGAATGGCACTAAAATAAAAACAAAAAGACACAAATTGGGCTCCTCTAGTCTGCACAGAATGTTTGGAAATGCACATCTAGCTGTTGAAATACCCATCATCTCCTACTTAAGAGCAGAAACACTACCTCTAAGTGCAGTTATTTTTAGAGGCATGTATTACGTGTATATCTCATTGAATGAAAAGATCCCCATAATATACTTTTGATAGAGCCCTTTCTGCATTTTGAGCTAGTATGTGTCTGATGAATTTACATTCTTCTAAAACAAATAGAGTAGAGTTGATAGCTTTAATTTTTTAAATACCATCTCAGGTTTCCCAGAGAAGATTAGCAAGTCTTTAGTCTAATTACTTCTCAGTGAGTATTTTTGTGAAAAATAAATAAGTAAATAATTGTATCCCCTGCTAGGAAGCTGCAATCCTAAAAGCTGTGGTTAACTTGCTAAACCACTGCTTTGCAGACTCAATGTTGCCCTCCTTAAAATTTAAGATGTGTACTAAACATTTATGGCAGAACAATGATAGATGCCTTGAGAGTACATAAAGACCTTGCAGATTGCTGCTTTCTTTACCTCACTATTTTAATTAAAGTTTCCCTAAACCACCTTCCAAGTGGACTGCTATAAATTGGTAAGATTGTCAATATATAAACGACAATAAAGGGAACAACTATGTTGTCAAGAACAGAATGCCTTGAGTAAATTATTCCCCTATGTCAACAATTAGATTGTATCTTCCAGATTTTATGAGCTACTGTCATGTATTCATTATTTAGGTATTCCTCAAAGTAGGGTTCATAAGAATATGAAGTTTACAAGAATATGTTGTTTCTTCTGTCTGTTGCCATTCCACAAACTTAGAAGGGACAAACCACAGCGTCGTCTTATATCTCATAATATATAGGTTAAGAATTCAGGAAGGGCTTAGCTGGGTGGTTTTTTTTGTTCTGTGCAGCATCACTTCAGGTCTCCATGGTGCTAGAGCCAGCAAATGAGCTAATGTAGCGAGCTCAAGAGTGTCACAGTCACATTTTTTGGTGTCTTGATGAAGATGTCACTAAGTCTGTAAGCAGGCAAGCCTCCTACAGGACCTCCTGCACAAAGCAGTATCAGGGTATTCAGACACCTCATAAATGCCTCATAGAAAATTTTCCAAAAGAAAGACAGCAAAAGCTGCCAGTTTCTGAATGCCTAAGTTTGGAAATTTGCACATTACTTCTGCCTTCTTTTATTAGTTCAAGTAGTAAAAGAACCCACCAAGTTCAAGGTGAGGGAGACTGGACCTCATTTCACTGCTAGAAATACTTAGGAATTTACAGCCATCTTAATTACATCACAACTATGCATAAATGTTTTCATTTTAATAAATATAATTTATAAAAATGCCTAAGAAGCACATAAAATCTTTTTTATCTCAATGAAAACAGTGCATAAGTGATAGATTATCTTATTTAAAGTTAAGAAAGTTGTATGATTTTGAGAAAAAACACTAGATAATACTAAAGATGTACTTTAATAGAAGAATGAAGTTTGGGGAATATCCTAATGGGTTTTTATGTCTAGAACCAAGAAGAAAAGAGTTGTTAGCATAGATTCAAATAAAGGATGCACTTTTCTGTAATTAATTCACTCCATTTTATTCTTGCTATCAGCCCAGTACCAACTATTCTCTGGCGAAGAGCTGACGGAAAGCCGATAGCAAGGAAAGCCAGAAGGCACAAGTCAAATGGAATTCTTGAAATTCCCAATTTTCAGCAGGAAGATGCTGGTTTATATGAATGTGTGGCTGAAAATTCCAGAGGGAAAAATGTAGCAAGGGGCCAGTTGACTTTTTATGGTAAGTTTGCAATTCTACTTGATCATTTGTCATACTATAGAACTTCTTGGTATTAAAATCATTCACTGGGAGGTTTGCATTGAGGCTTATATATATATATATATATATCTTGTGTAGAATAGAGCTGTGTAAAACTGTTGGTTTGCTACAGAGTTAGCATTCCCTGGGTAACTTTGGGTGTGGAAAGCGAGAGTGGGGGGCAAGGATGTTGACAGAGCAGAGAGGAAGGAATTAGGCTGATGTGTTTGGGGGATGGATGTTAGTGTGAACACACTTCCACAGGAGCCTGTTTTTCCTCTTGCCATCAAGCTGTAAACCTGACACAGGAGAAACAGCTTGTTAATCCTGCTCCTGGCTTACTTATCCTTTTTTTTTTTTTTTAAATTCTATGCTCCACTTGGATTTTCATTTGGGGCTTGTGTTAATCCTTTGTAATTGCTGCTATTTGGTGGCAATTTAATGTGGTACCAAAATGCACACTGTCCAAATTTAGCTCTTCTAGAGTAGAGCATGACAAATCTCTCTCACCCCAAAGACTTTTATGTGCAGCTGCTCCTCTTTCAAGCAAATAATCAGCATTGATCCAAACATAATATAAATGTAAAATCTCTCTCACGTGGTCATTATTGACCCTATCTTGGAAACCCTGTTAGGGTATTGATTTAAAATTTAGAAAAAGATTTAATTGAATAGGCATTTTGAAAGAAAATTGAGTTTTGCCAAATTGGAACATGCCTGAAAACCATCTCTCTGGGGGTAGAGAGTATAAATATTACAGATGAATAATTAAGAATGGTTTAAATAAACAGCATTGAATATTAAAATGATGACAGCATTTATATGGGGTAAGTTTTAGCAAATGCTTTGAATGTGCTTATTTCTTGCAATATTTATTTTAGCAGTTCTTCTAAAGCATTTTGTTTTTTAAGATATGACCAAAGAATTCTGTTCAATGATCACATAAGGTTGTTTAGAAGCTTTATTGAAAACTAGGTGGAGATCCCCAGGATCAGCCAGCCTTCTCTGACTTTTCCCTCACATGACTCTGAGCCTTTTGGACATGTGTTATATGAGAACATACAAGGTCCTGGAAAGTTCCTTATATGATGAGCTGGCCAACAGTTTAATATATGCCCTCATTCCTTTTTCTACTCATGCCAAAATGATAGGCTTGCTATTTGATCTTTGCTCTTAAATTGTGGTGGTTAATATCTTATTTGATTGGAGAATAAAGGAAGATTGCACAACCATAACTGTTTAGGGTTCATTTTTATCACTAGCATAATAATTATCTCTTATATATCAGGTAGCGGCAACTTGAACTTACTTAGGTAATTGGGCAGCATTTTCCCTTTCTTCGTGACTGAATAGACTTTTCAATTCAGTAGTCGTTGTTCCTGAATGTTATTTGAGTTGTTCAACTGATTGAATAAAGTCATTTTCACTTTCATGATTTTCTTTTAAGTGAAATACCTGTTTTCAGTATGTTTAAAAGGTATGAAATTTTCTGTAACCAGGGGTTTGACATAGTGCTTCCCGGAAATGCAGCAAGCTAGAGTCACTGTGATGGAGAGTTAACTCTGTCACTGGTCCCCAGCCTTGTGTACTGGTAAGTGTTTTTTAGGGATCTGCCATAGAGATGAAATGCAGGTTCTAACAACATTTGCCTTTTCAATGCTGTTATCTGGTGTCATGCATAAGGAAAAGGGCAGAATAAAATTTGCCTGCTTTCTGAAGATAACTCAGTTTTACCTCAGTTGTCAGCCACCCTTGGTGTTAGAAACTTGTCAGGTCAGTTGACTTTCACAGCACCAGGCTATTGAATCTATGTTTATTCTTTTGTTCTTCCTCAACTAACATATCAGCGACACAAGATTATCTAATTGTTTTCATTGTCATGGGAGAGCTTAATTATACATAAGTGTTTGACTGTCAGTGTTTTTTCTCATCTCATGTTGTTTTAGTCTGGGTTTTCCCAATGCAGTGTTCCTAATATCCAGTTGCCTTGATCTCCAAGTTAAATGAATTATTATAATTAAAATCACTGTGTAGATTCCCCAAACGGGAGAAAATAGCCCCAGTCACTTATCCATGAGTACTCTGTCTTTGTTGACAAGACAATTTCTTACAGCATTAAGGTGTGCTAGTTTGGGGGATTAGCAACCATTGATTCAAACTTAGAAGCCTACTTCATCTTTTTCTGTTGTTGGTGTTTGGTTCCAAATGTTGGCATTCCATTCACCAGGCGCTCTTTACTTCAGCAAACATAAGTGTGCTAATTTCTATTCTGACTTAACAAAATGGCATTATTTTTCCTTCTTGCCTTAAAATCATAAACCTTTCAAAAGCTTACTGGACATAATTCTATTGTGTTTGCCTTTCCTGTGTGGCAGTCCCTATTCCTGGTTCATGTGTTTCTACTGTGCCTGTGTGTTGGAAATGTGTGAAAAACTGAAATGAATCCAGACATAGAACATTTTTACCCTACCCCTTCTTCTCAGTTTATTTTGCCATGACCTACACTTGGCTAGCATAGTCTAGCTTAAATCTGCTCTTTCACTCAATTTTCAACATGAAAAACTTCCTAAAACTAGATCTGTTTTCAAGTAGAATATTACAAATCTTTGTTACCAAAGGGAGAAATCTTCCTAAATGACTTAATACATTATACGTTTGTTCAACAAATATCTTTTCATTGCCTTCCATGTAGCAGACACAGTTAGGTACTAGGGCTGCAAGAAAAATCCTTGCCCTCAAGAACCCTATATTTCACTAAAAGTTAACAGCATTGTGCTATTCAGCAAATAAATGGCCTAGAAAATTTCGTATTGTGGTAAGAGTTATGAAGAAAATAATTTGGTTGGTATGATAGAAAGTAACTGGGAGCAACAGAAAGTCTTTGTAAGATAAAGTAGTCAGGGTGAGCTTGTTTAAGAATTGTCCTCTGAGCCAAAACCTGAAGGATGAAAATGAGCTAGACTTCCATAGGAAAGCACATTCCAGGCAGAAGGTAAGGAAGTGCAAAGGGCCTGAGGCAGACAACTGTTTGACATGTTTGAGATGCAGCAAGGAAGCTAGTGTAAGTAAATCATAAAAAGCAAGGCAAAGGCTTGCAGTACCTTGTAAGCCAAGTGAAGTTTGGGTTTTATTCTCTTTGTTCTCAGTAACAAGAGAAGACTTTGGAGGATTTTAAGCAGGGAAATGACTCAACTTGATCCATCATTTTAAAAGACCACTCTGGTTGCTTTGTGGAATCAAGAACAGAAGTAGGAAAATCAGTAGGCTCATATCTGTGTGAGAGATGTTGGTGGCTTGAACTTAAAGGAGGAAAAGAATTTTTTGTTGTTTTTGTTGGTTTTCTTGTGGTGGGATTTGAACTCTGGGTTTTGTGCTTGCTACACAGGTGCTCTGCTACTTGTGCCACATCTTTTTTTGTAATTTGTGTGTGTATCTGTGCATGGGACTGGGGTTTGAACTCAGGACTTCACACTTGCTAGGCAGATGCTCTACCACTTGAACCACACCCCACACCTAAGAGAGGAAAACAATGGAAAGATGAGAGATGTATTTTTGGAGTGAGAGCCAGTAGGACTTTCTCATTTCATTCCTACAAATACCCAGATTATAGATAAAGAAACTGATTCCCAAAGAGATTAAAGTAAGTGATTTAAATGTACATAGTGAGAAGCAGTGCTAGATTCCAAATGCTACACTAGAGGTTCTGAAACTTCAGTGTAGATCAGAATAAATTGGAAGTCACTAAAATACAGAATTCCGGGCCCTGTATACACACAAATATTGATTTGGTAGGTCTGGTGCGGCACCCAAGAATTTTCATTTCAAATAATTTTGAAGGTAATGCTGATGCTGCATGTCTAGGGAACTTGTTGGAATCACAGATCTATGCTTAGGATGGAAAAATGGTATAGTGAAGCTGAAGATTAAACTACACTCAAGAGAAAGAACTCCTGCTGCTCTGGAACACTTCCATCTTGCCATCATACCAGGCATTGTAGCCTGTCTATGTACACAAAGTATATGAGAGTTCTGAGGCAGTTATCTTTGAAGTAAGGAAAGGAAAGTATAGAATGCATTTAATTCATTTTAAAATTACTCATCTTTCTACCTTATCATATCTGTGTAGTCACTCTTCCTTTTTGTACAAATAGACTGATAGAATTATAACCATCATTTATAAGAATGAACTGTGAACTAAAAGAACCTGAGGCTTACTGTTTTTTGTACAATTTCTCCTGTATATAACAGGTATCATAAGGCAAAACCATATTTATCATTAGGAAATAGGGAATATTATATTTGAGTAGTAAGGATATATTTCACAGAATCTGGTTAATGCTAGAATTGAAAGGAACTACTGGAGCCAACCCACTGATTTTTATAAATAAGGGTAATAAGGCTCAGAGAGGTAATGTATTCAAGGTCATACAATGAGTGGAAAACAGAGGTATGAGTAGAATTGCTTTCAGCTATAATATATGTATTGCTATTTCTACCTATAAAGCATTTTAATAAAATGGATCAGGGAAAGATCCACCAGTCACGCTATTCTCTTTCTGCACATTTTCTACAACCAATGTCACAAATGAAAACATCTGGATAAACAATTGACTTTTTCACTTTCTATTTTCTAAGTTGGTCACCTGCTTATTGAGTTCAAAAAGAGCTCTATTTTTCTTCCTTTTTCATCTTCCAATTACATGGAAGCTAGATGTTGTAAGCTACAGAATTGTGGCTCTAAAGGTAAAACTGTAGGCTTGATGATGCTGCAGGTGGTTTCTGAGTATCTCTAAGGTCATCAATAAGTGACTACAGAAGCATTCTGCAGCACAGCATCCTAATTTCCCATGGATGTGCTGTGTATATGTGATAGCTAGATATTATTCAGCACTGCAAAGTGGCTTAAAGGACAGAGTGACCAAAAAATGAGCACAGAAGATAAGGTAATTTCACACTAGAGCAATGCTCTGCTTAATTGTCCT